ACACCCGTCAAGTTGATTTCCCCTAAAATGCATATTTTCATTTTGTAATGTGACTGAATATCTCAACACAGGTCTATCAATTCCTTTTGATGAAGTTACTACAAAAAACATTTTGTAAAAATAAATGAATACAAGAGTAAACAACAAATAACAAAGTGTGGTGTTCCTCAAGGAACGATTTCAGGACCTGTCATTTTTTGATTTACTTTAATGATTTACTTAATACAAATCTTGATGGTGATCTATATTCATATGCAGATGACACTGTATATGTAGCGGATGGAGATAACTGGAATGAGACCATATCGAAGGCTGAAGTTGGCATGTCAGTTTCGAAACATAACTTGAGTTATGAATTGCTCACATGTATCACGAAAACTAAATTCATGACATTTTCATGTAATGAAAAATATCAACCAAAATTTGATGAAATAAAAATTCATAGTTCGAAATGTTTTCAGGAACATTGCAATTGCACTCTTAAATTGAGCAGAACCTCAGAAATAAAATATTTAGGAATTTATATCGATTGTTGCCTGAAGTGGAAAAAACATTCACTTGAATCAACAAAAAATTAAGAAAATACCTTTATAGGTTCAGACTTCTGAGAAATATATTCGAAGTGAAAACAATATTGATGTTTTATCATGCATCATTTTTCAGTATTATGACCTACGATATCATAGCCTGGGGTAGTGCATATGAAAATTCATTAAATTTGAATTTGATTATACTCTGGATGAGCCTGCTCCTTCGTTTTGAATTTTGATTATCAACATATGGAAAAATGAGTATTGATAAGAAATCTATTTAAATATTTTCTTGATAATGGTGGAGTTGTGTTCAAAAATACATAGTTTGACAGTTTGGCCATAATTCCCAAAAAGCTTTCAGATTTCAAGAAGAGAAATTCATGAGAGAAAATGAAATTGTTCGAGTTGAAATAACTGAACATCTGGAGAGAAGTGAGAGTAGTATTTATACTCAAACCAGGTACAATGGACTACACCCTACCAAAAGCATTCCGACCAATTAGTCTCACATCGTTTTTCTTAAAAACCATGGAGAGGATATGTGAGCGAGCGGTACATAAGAGATGACTAGTACTTCATCTCATAACCCAAATCAGCATGCATATACTCCGGAAAGGTCTACTGATTCAGCCCTTCACCATGTGGTTGGCAGAATCGAGAGATCATTGGACAACAAGGAATCCACCCTGGGTATATTCATAGATATCGAGAAAGCGTTTGATACAACAACCTTTCCAACAATTACCCAGCAACTACACTCCAGGAATATACCCCTGGTAGTAGGAGAATGGATACTCAAGATGCCCTCTAGTAGAGCAATAAGTATTAATGTAGAAGACATCACAGTGAAAGGACTGGTCATGAGGGGATGTCCACAGGGATCGGTCTTATCACCCCTTCTCTGGAACATAGTTCTGGATACCCTGATTAATCACCTTAATAAAAATGGATTCTACACAATTGCATACGCAGATGACATAGTTATCTTGCAGACCGGTAAATTTGTAAACACACTGTGCGATAGAGCGCAGGATGGACTCAAATTAATAGAAACATGGAGTAAGGAACACTCACTGTCGATCTTTCCAAAGAAGATTGAGATGGTCCTTTTCACCAGGAAAAGAAGTTTAACGAGCTCAAAACCTCCCGAAAACTTCAAAAGCAAACTAAACTTCTCTGAAGAGGTAAAATATCTTGGTACTATCCTCGACAGGAAGCTAACATGGAACTCTCATCTACAGAGTAGAGCAAAAAGACAACTCTCAGAAGTCGAAACTTGTTCGAGCTAAGGACTAACGAGGTATTTGATTTCAATGTGTGATTCGTAGCACAGGATTAATTCATTAGAAGTTGACACAGATCGTTAATGTACCCGTACCTACAGTATATTATATAGATTTTATAAAGCTTTCATTCTGACGGAACACTTGACTATATAGGGGAAATTTCGGACATGGTAGCGAATTTTGCGCAGAAACTGTAGTGAATTTTGATGTCGATATGAATTTTGACAATTTTGCAAATTATATGAAATCTTCAATGCGTTATTTCGGCTTGATCCGTTGAGAAAAAAAAGTTACAGAAATTCACTGTAGTGTGGTGAACTGTGGGATCTTTCATGCAATGAGAGAAAAATTATAGGAAACGTAGAATTCAGGTTCATTCAAAAAGTATGGGAAAGGGTCATTTCTATCTTTTTGGGGGTAATTGATGTTCGTTGAGGAATCTCAATACGGAGTGAATGCGATGGACTCATGAAAGAGTGAGATGTTCTATCGCCAATGATAGTCTATGTAGAAATACAAGTCGTAAAAGCCCGAATACCCATATGTAATGAGTTTTTCCGCTGAAAATTCCACCTTTGCGACTAGATGCAAGGACTGTTTTGAGATGAGTGGTGATTGGCTAAGAGGCCAAATGTGGACCTTTACTGGATTTCATAAAAAAGTTGGATTTTCAGATCCGATTTTCATTCTTGTCTTGAGCTAAATTAATGGCAGTTGTTGTCTTGATCAGAGCTCTCTCATGTGTTGAAAGTTTTATTCGAATTTTGTGCAGGTGACATGACATATTTTTTATCAAAATCCAACGAAAAAATTGTTAGGGCTTTCGCGGCCGAGTTTTTTGGTGTAACTATTTTCCATGTTTGAAGGCCGCAGAGTTTTGGAATTTCTTCCTGACGTTTATCTGACAGGACTAATTTCTCCGAGAGATGACTTATCTTCGCTTGAATTTCACTAGTTCGGACTTCCATTGTCTAATATATAAAATGATTTGAAATCCCTGAAACAACTAAAAGAGGAGAATTGAAAATGAATAGTTGAAAATAATGATAATATTAGGCAAAAATAATCTGAAATGAAAGAATAGTGAAATAAAATACAAGTAAAAATAAAACGATTGAACAAAAAATAAGAAATATGAAGAAATACAAATGAAAATAAAAATAAAAAGTTAAGAGATTCCAAGCCACGTTAGTTCCACTTCACCGGTTTAGCGGGTGATGACCGTTTGGCGAAAGTTGGCCATTTTTCGCTTGATTATGGGTCCCCATATGTTGTGCATTTCTACGCTAGATTGACTGAATACATTGTTGGACAACATGTATGCGGCTTCTTTGAATTTCCTTCTAAACCAGTGTTTCTATCTGTGTATGACCTCAGCTTGGGACCACTCGATGTTATGTTGATGGGTCCAAACATGCTCTGCTATTGCTCTGATTTGCTGGTTTCTCCTCGCTGTGTGTGTTCCTCATGCTTGGCAATGCAAACTTCTAATGGCCTCTCAGTTTCACCGATATAGGATTTTCTGCACTCACATGATGTCCGGTAAATGCAGTTCTTGAAATCGCAGTCCGCATTTGGTGGCCTCGTTTTCACGAGGCTGCTACGAATAGTGTTTCCGGATCTGAAGTATGTTCTTGTGTTGTACTTGGACCCAATTCTTCTTATCCTTTTCGATAATCCTCTGATGTGGGGAAAGGCAAGCATTGGTTGTGACGGCTTCTCTTCCTTACGAGGCTCTTGCTGTCTTTTATCCAATCTTTTAGCCAAAGGTGAAACAGACTCTGGCTGAAAGACAGCAAGAGCTCACAAGGAAGCCGCCACAACCAGTGCTCAGTGCGTAACACTTTCCTATATCAGAGGATTATCGAAAAGAATAAGAAGAATTGGTTGAAGTTCAACATCAGAACATGCTTCAGATCCGGAAACACTATTCGAGAAGCCTCACGAAAACCAGGCCACCAAACGCGGACATCGATTCCAAGAATTGCATTTATCGGATACCCTGTGAGAGCGGAAAACCCTTATAGGTGAAACCAAGAGGCCATCAAAAATTCGCATTGCCAAGCACAAGTAACAGTCACAGCGAGGAGAAACCAGCAAATGAGGAATAGCAGAGCATGTTTGGAACTATCAACATAACATCGAGTGGTCCCAAGCTGAGATCATACAGAGGTTGAAACACTGGTTAAGGAGGAAATTTAAAGAAGCCGCATACGTGTTGTTCAACAATGTATTCATCCAAGCTAGCATAGAGATACGCAACATATGGTCAACTCCCGCCAAACGGTTATCACCCGCTAAAACGGTGAAGCGGAGAGAGGAAAGAGGAGATAAGTGAAAGTACTCGAATGACCCATAGATAATCATTTCTCGGAGGAATTAGTCCAGTCATCAGCCGAAGACTATTGTGTATACTAACAATCGAAACGTCGTGAAGTAATTTGCTTGGAATCTCTCAATTTTCCTTTTTTTGTTTAATTTTTCTATTTTTTACTTCTATTTTATTTCACTTTTATTTTTTTTCAGGGTTTCTTGCTAAATATAATTGTTATTTTCGACTGTTTTAAATTTTTCATTTGTATTGGTCCTTTCAGGGATTTCAAATCATTAGACAAAGGAAGTCCGAACTAATGAAATTCAACGTAAAGCGAATTAGTTGATTCAGGTAGTCTGGTGGTACTGGTACATTATTATCACACCAGACTACCCGAATAAACATAAACATGCTTTACGCCAGGTATAGGTAGGTATTAACACACCAGTCATTGGAGATATTAACTCAGGATGTATAAACCACTGAGGAAGCTAGCCACCCACGCCAGCGAAACATCAGAAAGAAATTACAAAAATCCACAGCCTGCAAACTTGCTGCAAACACATTGGTGTTTGGTGTTTTTTCACCTTGTATTGCAGAGTCCCTGGTGCTGTTATCAACTGTGAATCGAATCTTTCACAGTAGAAACAACTGGTTTCGTCAGGAGTGGGACTCTGAGGAACGCGGATCGTGAAGCAGGTCGTGGATCCCGGAAATGTGGTAGATCGGAAGTAGGACGAATTTGAGGCCTCAGCGAGAGGAAATAGAGCAAAAAAGTTTGATGGACGCAAGTATCTCTTCGAACGTACCTATACAAAACCATTTTTACACTACTATTCACTTCACTTTGTTCATTAGTGAAACAGTAGTTAGCTAAAATCATAAAATGTATTCTCGAAAAAATGTAAAATTAAAACTGGTCACAAAAATATAAATAAGATCAATAAAAAATCACAGATTCTTTGGCTTGAAATCGTACTCATAAAAAGTGGGTAAACGAGGATACGATGCGCCTTCACATTCAAAAATTATTCGTATCCTTGTCGGACCTTTGGTTCTGTGCTTGATCTTCAGCTTGTGTAATTGACTTTCGCTATACTTTTTCAAAAATTTCAAAGGGGCGTAAGACAACGGACATTTGACTTCTATATTGATCCTTAAACCTAGGTAGGGTATTCTGTAGAAAACGTTTTCCTCTGAATTGTTCCTTGGGGCATTGGCTATGGGATTATCTATGTGTATGTCTATCACGTCTTCTTCCACTTCTTCGTCGTTGTCTTCCTCTGTATTGAACTTTTGAATGAAGGCTCCTGTCAAATAAAAAAATATAGATGGAGAAACAGGATTATGACTTTTTATAGTGGGGAAAATCATTTTGCGCGAAACATTTGATGTCCAAAGGAAGGGGAATCAACCAGCTAACCCTCATGACAAATGCATTATGAATTGACTTCGAGTATGAGATATCAAATATTGAAATTAAAGAGAAATAAACATTCAAATCAGTTTATTGAAATTTCAATTACAGTAACAAATGGTTTTTTTTTAAATAAATAATCATATTTGGTGAGGCATTGTGAAGTTTCCCTCACTTCGGTACTATTTTCAAATTATTGGAGAATTTAGGTGACCAACTATAATGATAGCTATCAATTTCGAGATTATAACTGAATTGTTCTGGTTCATTATCCAGTGAGTGAATGAAAAATATAAAGGAAGATTTCTCAAGTCATTTTGAACATTCGTTCAGATATCCTGAATACAACTGTATCACTATAGTGGGTGATAATGAAATCATTGTACATTCAATTGTTTCTGAGGTGAGAAATCCGAAATTTGAAACATACGTATATTTTTTTGAAGCCGACATTTCTAATGAAAAAACAATTTTAACCTTTTTCCATTTCAACCACAAATGAACTAAGTCAAAAATCTTAAACAGAACTCTGTATGAATTGAATATGAATGAAAAATGAGAAATGAAACTTTCTTGGTTTTTTATACCACTTTCGTTGTATTAATTTGGAAATGTTTTATAGGACGAAACTGTAAAAACGTCAGTTACGAATAAAAGTGAAAAAAAACATAGAAAGTTTTATTTCGCATTTTTCATGAAGAGCTCTGTATATTTTTTAGACGATTTATTGAAATATAAAATTCATTCTCCAACGATATAACAAATATAGTAGCCATTTTCTCCAAATTTGATATGGTAGCACTACACCCATTGAGTCGATAGGAAAGTTGAGTTATAGCGAAGATAGGTTATGATAACAGGTGAATTGATTGGAAAAATATTGATGTTCGACTATTGATAGGTGTTTTCCAGTGAAGTCGAAAGTGCCCTTTCTTTTAACAGCATGTCAGTTACTTCCGCTTTCTTTTAGATAGAAACAGCCAAGATGGAAACCATTATTCAAAAACCAGTATTTGAAGCTACTAGAGAAAGCAGAAATATATCACTCGCATTCATATCGAAGTTAATAGAGGAAATTAATATACACGCACACATAAATGACGAAAAAAGAAGTGAGAACCAGAAAAACGGCCGCAATGAATTCCAAGGCGAACCCTCTGGACATACAGGAAACATTTTATGACACTACAGGCTTTTCTGATGACGAACTAAGCCAAGAAGAAGCGGCGTCTTCAACCAAGAAACGCCCAGCAAAGTCAGAGATTCCTAGAGAATCTCAAAAAATAAAGGACAATGAACCTGAGAATATCAAACCCCAGGTACAGAGTGAGGTACCTATAGGAAATAAGACCCAGATTTCTGAGAATTCGAAGTCGAAACCCCGAAAAATATTAAAAAACCTGATCAGGTAGTCAAAGAAGTCACAAAACCGCAGACAGAAGATGTAAACCAAACCGCTGAAGTGATGGAAATTCCGAAGGTAAAGGATGTCTCCACTGAGGACAAAGAGACACCTGTAGCAGCACAGGCTCCGGTGCAGAAATATAGGTGGACAAAATTTAATGAAATTGTCGTATGGAAGAAGGTGAACTTTCCAAAGGTGGTCAACACTAACGACGGTATAAAAGTTCAGCCAGCAAGACTGGATGATTATAGGAAAACTGTCGACATATTGGACGAAGGAAAGATCCTGCATCACACTTACACGATGCAAAAAGCAAAGCACATGAGAGTGGTGTTTCGAGGAGTATTGAATTCCTCTAAACTAAAAACATTGAAGATGACATGAAAGCCAAGGGCTTTGATATAATATCGGTAGCCAGACTTAAAAACGAAATAAAAAGCCACTCCCGCTGGTACTGGTTCCCGTTACGAGACAACAGAACCAAATCTTACGAGTTCAGGGAAATCCTTATTGTAAGAGTGAAACCAGAACCGCAAAAACCATGAACGACAGTGGGGCAATATTACCGCTGTCAGAAGTTCGGTCACTCGAAAAGGAACTGTAAAGCAGTTCCTGTGTGTTTAAGATGTGCCGGCCATCACCTGACGACCGAATGCAAAAGGCCAAAACAATTGCCACTGAGAAGTTTCAACTGCAAGGAAATCACCCAGTGAACTACCAAGGATGCCCTGAACATCCAAAAAACAAAAAGGCTAACGCCAAGCCCAGAGACCTGCCAGCCAGGCCGATGGGACACAATAAGACAAGGAGCGGCGAGTCGTACGCAAGGGTCGTGAATCCCACACAAAAAAGCGATCCCAGCTCTGTGGACGGTCTATTTAGAGCTTTCGACCAGTTACAGACCATGTTGAAATGTTGAAGAACTTCCCCGTCTTACAATCCATGCTGACGGTCAATACTTCCATTTCCACGACAAATCAACGACTCAAAGGCCCCGACACGGGGTGACTTTACCTAATAAACTCAAGACCACATAAAGAATGCCATTCACCTGGAAATTACCCCGTTAAGAGAGGCTGCGAGAGAAATCTCGGTCGCGCTTCATCTTAATATAGATTTTATTTTTCAGACACACATATGTGGAAATAGTCAGGGTTTTAGTTTCAACTTGTTTCAAAATAAGATAACCGAACTTGATATGACAGTACTATGAGATCATCTACGGACATATCGTCTTAGTTTCGGAATAAACATTAACATTTTTAACAATTCACGTACTTTTCATCCATTTTTCCATTCGAAAATTTTTTGATGGGAAATAGTATTTGTCAAACTCTAACATTGAAATATACCTTTTGTACTATCAGAAATGGCAGTTCATTTTCAGTGTCAATAAAAAAGTTCAATAGCTTTCTACTTCATCTTATCATAAAGTATTTATTGTTGAAAATTGGAAATACCCTTTATTTACTGGCAGAAAAACTGAACAACTTCAGTATTAAAGTTTGAAGTGAAAAATGACATTCGAAAGAAGTTAATGGAAAGTACATTTGTTGGTGAAGAATTCGTAAATTTTAATTCAAAAATTGTGCAAACATCGCTATTTGAAAGGTGTGGGTATAGTCGAAGTAACTGGTATTGTGCATACTTGAAGTGTCGGCTTCCTCGAAGACCAAAAAAACCAATACAAAGAAATAAAGCCGCTGCCAACTAGTCCACGTGGACTGAAGAATTGGCGGTTCGTATTGGATGATTTTAACTAACCGAGTTTTATGATTGGCTGAAGAGTCATAAAATAAAATTTTGAAGTAATGTTACGGTGACGAATAGAATGCGAGCCGTCGCGATTTGAGTGTAGAAATTCGATATTGGGCGGTTGAAATTACTTAAAATTTTTGTTATCTGTTTGAAATGTGCTATCCTTGGACAAGTACTAATGGCAATAACGAGTGTGATAACAACGCAGACTTTTTCCTGTGTAGTGATTAGAATAGCACTGGTGAACAATGCGAAAAAGAGATACCAGTGACTAAGATTCAGATGCATTTGAATATTGAAACACAGAGAGTATGTTTCAATACATATAATAATCTACATCTCAAGTTTGGTTTCGAGGGAAACAAACTATTACAAGCAACATCAGATTTGACCGAAATTCCTTTCTCAAGTGTAGGTAAAGTAGTCAAAAACAAACCTTATGAACGCAAGACGCGATATGATACGTGATTACTAAAACCTTCAGATGATCATCTAATAGAATCATTAAAAAAAGCAATATACGACTGCTACAAAAGCAATGAGATTCCTACAACTGGAATCATAAGAAAGAAATTGAATACTTCCGGCCATAATGTTAGCTGCTGTGACAAAACTTTTCAGAATTGGATACAAAAACTAGGATTTAGATTTAAAATAATAAACAAACGTTTATGGTTATCAACAGTTATGGAAATCAGAAGAATAGTGGAATTGCGAAACAAATACTTAGAACAAATAACTAAATGTAGACAAGAACAACGGAAAATTTTCTATTTGGACGAAACTTGGTATGACACTCACGACATGGTCCCGAAAGGGTGGACTGATGGTTCGGGAATGTGTACATCTAATATGCCTGCAAACAAAAGATCGCGACTAATCATTGTGCTTATTCAAAAACTACACCTCACGATTTGGTCTCCACAAACTTCATTTTGAAAATATCACAACCTGTTGCGTTAGCACAGTAGCATTCTCAAGTGATTATCACTTGAATGTAGAGTCTATCATCAACATGGATTATTTTCCATGATTGAGAATAAAATTCCTTCAGAGTGTCATTCTTCGAACTAGGCTAAAGCGAACGACAAACAACGTGTTTGTCATCGCCTCATCTGCCTGTGAACGAGGTAACCAACCGCATATCCGAATTTGCCCAAATTTCTCGTATAAGGAAAGAAAACTCTATATAAAGTGAGTGGGCGTACTTAAAGACTGGCTATAAATCAAATTATCTACAAGAACATTTTGTTCACTAGTCTCAAGTCACTTACACTGTTGGTTAATGAACTGACACATACAAGAAAACCATTACTTCCCTGGCTGATACCACGAAGGGCGTTGAATTATATTCGACAGGTGTCAGTCCGGGATTCTTCACTGAAGTTATTCCTGCATATGTCTACTCACCTTATGTACAGTTTTCTTCCCTCAATCGAGCAATTTGGGCAAATTCGAATATGTGGTTGGTTACCTCGTTCACAGCAGATGGGTCGATGACAAATATGTTATTTATCTTCGCTTCTGCCTATTTTAGGGAATGACACTAAAGGAATTCGATTTTCAGTTATGGGAAATCATCGACTTTATGCACTGACGTGTGGCTAAACAGCCCAAAACATGTCTGCAAGTGTGCTTTAATAATTGAAAATTGATTCCGGCAGTTGTATCGCCAACAGTATATGCAGGAATAACTTCAGTGAAGAATCCTGTAGGATATAATCCTACGCCCTTCATAGTATTAGCCAGGGGAGTAGTGGTTTTCTGATAGGTGTCAACATATGAAAGAAGAAAAATTATATCAAGAACACTGATATTGTGAATACTGCAATCACATGTTAATCCATAATAATTTGAACTGATTCAGGTATGAAAATGTTGATAGTTTGTACCCACCGTCATTCATAACTCCGTAATAAAAAAATATATCTCCCACATCACCATAACCAGTGTAAACGTTATTTCCGGGCTTCTTGATCCTCATATCTGGATCCGGCCGCAACATCAGTTCTCGCTCGTATTGTGCCTGCTGTAGAAACATATCGTTGTGAGCTAGAACTATCCTCCGTAGTCGCATGTGCATCATTCTTTGCCTCTGACTCCAGTCCAGATCTTTTGTGCCAGATATGGGAAGGGCTACGAACCAGGAGTTGCGGAAAAAGTAGCTGTACTGGAAGAAATAAAGGATGTGATGAGATTATGGCGATTTTAGTGAATGACGTTGGAATATACGAAAATACTTGAGAGTTGTGTGCAAGCTAAGAATTATGATCATGATATATAAAAGGATCAAAGCACAGTTTTTTGGTCCAAAGATGCATCAAAAATAACCCGAGGTGCTAGTGCAAGTGTATGAAAAGAAATCTACCTCAAATATGAGTCAATAGAAATATTCTCGACCACCCAATCGGCTATGGAAGCTCTGGGTTCTCACTAGTAACTCACTGAGTGACCTGCGAAACGACAACTCCCCTGAATGGAAAGACTCAACAAATTAACTCTAGTCTAGTTCTCTAATCAAAATGGTTCGGAAGGTATCAAAGCTGTCGGTTCCACTGTGAGTGAGGGCTCTTAAAGCAGTTCTATCGGACCTGTCATTAGCATCGAATTAGGCTCTGCCGAACAAATAGTGGTCAGGATTGGTCCGTTCTAATACATTTATAGCATCTTCTGAGTTTTTTACTGAACAATGGTTAGACTACAATATAGGGATGAACTATGTTGTTTCAACATGCCTACTCACAACTCACCTGAAATATCATTTGCAGAGACTTGGATTGTCGAAAGACAATGCGTGACGTTGCATGACGTCCTTGTTTGGAACATGATAAAATAGCAGAACACATATTTTGTGTCTACACCACTGCAGATCTTATCAGGTTTCAATCTTGCCATATGCAAGATTCCCCACTATATGAAGATGCGGATTGCAGTGTAAGGTCAAAAAGACCCACTCACTTTGGACGTAACCTGGAATAACTATTCAACCACAGTGATGAAACCAATACTTTTTAATCATCTGAGTTGAGTCAACTAACAAAACTGTAACCTAATTGTAAAGGTCTCCACTGTCAAAGATGAGAACGAATAATACAAAACAGAATAATATTTCAATGTTGCTAACGAACCATTGATATAAGTCATTTAGATCATTTGTTCCATCACTGCAGAAATAATACCTACACCCCCGACGAAGATTCTGAACTATCCAATCTCTTTACTGGTTAATTTAGTTTCCACGGAACAGGAACTCATTTCTGTTTAAAGTCAACTTCACTTAATATTGAAGAATAACCTGAACTCAGAAAATTTTGGCATTACAGGACATTCTCAAATATGATCCTCACTAGTAGTGAACGTTGGTTTCCTGTGAAATATATCTATGCTCAACGCTGGTGTTTCTCAGGGACCATATTACCTTCAATTCTCTTCAGGTTGTTTATCCCTGACCACAAATCCAAATCATTACTTACTTACGATAGCACTTTCTCTTCCAAATAGGATGTCCAGACATTGAAGTTCCAACCACCCAGGAATGAGTAAAATGAAGTGTATACAATCTAGCGATGAGCAAGAAATATCAGTTTGAGGCCTCAATAAAATAAGCTAATCAATATTTGTACAGACACTTGGGGCACCAATGAACCTTAAAGTGACATCGAGACTGGTCTGGAATACTGACGGACAGAAAGAAATATTTTATACTGAATGCTGGGACACTCAGGTATCATATGCAATAAGAAAACTGATGAGTGTGGAGCAAAATGAGAAAGTAGGTCTGTGAGAAACACATAGTGCTGAAAAAGTGTACCAGAAAACACTGTCAATACTTACTGGACCCTGGTCATACTTACCGGACTCTGTCCTTCCAGAGGACACCTAAACAAAATGGGGTTCTTCACCGAACTGTAGGAGATGCAATAAAGATACAGATATAGTTTTTTATATTCAATGCCAGTGTGATATGGATGATATAGATAGATGCATTGGTATGGATACCAAGGCATGGACAACCTGAATTATGTCTAGTAGAATATGATAAACTTTGACCAAAGTACCTGTACGAACTTGTACAGGAAACCAGGTTGTTGGATTGGGTATCATGGGAGAAATGGTGAAAAGACGTAATTAGCCCATGGGGTTGATTTCTGGAAACTTGAAAGGAATAAACAAGTCAGACTGGTCTCGAGAACAAAAAAAAAACACGTGCTGAAATAGAGAACGCAATTTTTCAGAGACGTACAGAAACTTCTGTTGTTTCGTGAAGCATAAATTTCGACAATACGTCAAATCGAATAATCGATTTTTTTTTTACATTTGGGAAACACGTCCTTGTGAAATGAACTTCTTGTTTGTCCGATCAGTGTCTAATTCATATCTTCAAAGAACACTGAAAATTCTGAGATTGAGGTCTTTTTTACTTGGTATGGTAGTCAGAAAAGCCACTGTTCTCAATCGAAATCCAATACTCTAGTTTTTTTATTCGGATTTTTTCTCATCCTTTTACGTGATATTCTAGATACAAGTTGATGTTCTCCCAAAACGAAATACTCGTGATATCATAAAAGAAAGGATGCAAACTCATAATATTATATATAGGTAGGTGGGTCTAAAGTGAGTGGGTCTATTCGACCATGCACCGCAACCCACAAGATTTTATTGTGGCTCACACTCGGCCAAATAAACCCAGCTTCTTTACGAAGCCTATTAATTTGTATGGTGAGTGGTCTTTCAGGTCAGATGGTGGGAGTACGGATCTGCCGAACTCAAAGAACCTGATTTGGTCCCCAGCAGGGCAGGCACAAAGTATATGCTGTGCTGTTTCATCATTTTCCAGACAGAGGTGACACACACTGTTTTCCGACAGTCCAAGTCTCTGCATATGATGATTCAAATGACAGTGACCTGTGAGAAGGCCTGTTAGACATCGTAGTTCATCCCTACTGTAGTCCAACAACTGTTTGGAACCAAGCTTCGAAGGGTGAATGAACGCCTTGGAGTGAGCCAATCCTGGAAAATTCTTCCAGAAGTCCATAAATCTTCTTGCCATCCAGGTGTTCAGTGTTTGTTTGGCAAAGCCCAGAGCGATGCCAATGACAGGTTCTGGTCCAATGAAGCCGCTTGCAGCACCCTTTGCAAGAGAGTCAGCAGCTTCATTGCCTTCCAGGCCAGTTCGCTACCAAATTAGATAGCTCGGTAGGAGCCAAGAGCTTCCAACGCCGCTTGACTGTTTGAGAATATTTTTATTGACCTGTGAATGAGGTTGGATTCATCCAATTCAATTCAATCGCGTAAATTTCCGCTTGAAATACAGTCGCATGAGTTCCTAGGCAAGTAGATAACTCTGTCCTGGGTCTGCGACTGAAAACACCTGTACCAGAACCGGAAGGTGTTTTTGATCCATCTGTGAACCATCAACTATCTTCTCTCAATATTTCCTTCTCCCGAAGGATCCAGTCCTCTCTACTCGGGAATAGAACCTTAGGCAGTTCGTAGTTGACAGTTGGAGGCATAATGTCAGAGGTCATTGCCAGAATGCTGTGACTTCGAATGTCAACCAACAGTATGTTGCACTCTGCATTGAATTAATTTGTGCAATTGGCAATGTGCACAAGTCTGTATGTAGTCCATCTAGCCTCTCTTTCCAGAAAAATGCGAAGAGAAGGTAGATCTAGAAGGATCTCCATGGCCGCTGACGGTGTGGTACTGATGGCACCACTGATAGCCAGACAAGCCATAGAGCTTCGCTTGGGCTCTATTATATATAGCTTAACATATGTATAAATTAAAATAAACGAGCAATATCAAACTGAATGTTGAAATTAAGTTCGAATCATAAATATTTAGACCTTATAATTGACCAAAATTTGAATGTTGAAAGTCATATTTATAACAATAACGTTCTTGATCTCAACAAACATATATATTTATAGAGGAATAAAAATGGAAAAAAATATTATGAAACAATTGCATTGAAAAAAATTAATTAATGCTCAGTAGAAACAGGTGAAGTTTAAATAGTATTCAACAGTTTTCTTGAGTTCAATTAAATTGAAAAAATTAATTGATGTTCAGTGGAACCAGATGAAGTTCAAATAGTATTCAACAGTTTTCTTGAATTTAGTAGCAGAATTGATGTTCTTTATGTATACGGGCAGACCTTTATATTTCGCGCTAAACATATTTTTCGGAAATGTAACATTTAATAATATTTTACGGTTTTGGTTGAACTCGGTTAATAAACTGATTTCGAATTTCCAAGGTTGTCAAGCATATTTGGAAAATTTATTGAGAGGGCTTCGATTTGAGGAATGATATTTCCATTATCTGATAAACGTTGGTAGATCTAGGTAGTATATTAATTACTTGAATATGTGTTAACCTGGTTCCTATATAATCTATTAGATTAATTTGAAATTTAGTTGAATAATTTTATCCCGTATACATGTTTCATATGTCCTGGTATAGTAACATTTACTTCGGAAATACAAACGTGAAGTTCGATCAAATGCAGAAAACGGTAGTTTGGAAGGGATTTTTGATTAGTTTTGCTCATTGAAAGGTAGAAGTGTAGAGAATTAGTAAAAATAAATGGATTCAGTGCCATCCTTGATTGGGAATGACTTCACAAATTCGCATGTTCAATTCTGGAAATTACGTTAGTTTGTATATTTTTCACTGGGAGTATTTCTTCAGAATTGTGATCTTGAAAAATGATTTCATATGCTTAGTCACACGCAACCAGGAAACCATTTTCTCGTTTTGGAAAAATTTCATGAATCAGGTATATTCAACTCATTGTGTGTCATATGTATTATTTATTTTCAATAGATTGATTAATGTCTCTAGGGTCATACAGTGATTCATTTTGTTAGTTAACACAATTTTTTTTAATTGATTGAAATGAAATAAAATACGGTTTTGATTAACATTGCTTGTGACTGTGATTCATCGAGACAGTCCATGGTACAGAAGTCACTTCCAAGTAATATAGAATGATTTGTATTTGATTTTTTTAATGATTGAAGTTCTTATAGTATTACTACTGGCCTATTGATTCAATCTTATTGGTATAGTTGGAGATTTAATTTATTATTCAGTGTTTGTTGGGGATTGAACTTACCTGGCGCCCTTAATCACCTTTTAAAATCAGTTGAAATCATAACGAACCCCCCCTTCTCTACTGAAGCTCTCTACTACGGTTGCATTTTTGGCGCCCACCGTGGGGGCAATTTGAATAAACACATTCTCACATTTTTGAGCATGAGTGAATTGAGCGCGATTATACATTGTAATGATTTGAAAAATGTTCAATATTGAACAATTTTTACATTTTTATGATAACTCACGTAATCTCTCATCACTGCTGGCGCATATAAGGTATTCGGTGAATGAAGAAATTTCCACATGAACCAATAGTGCGCATCGATCAATTGTCCTCCATACATACATGTTTTGTGCGTTTTATAATATTCGTTGTAAACGTATCTCCAAATTGTAGAAATAACCAATATATACTGAAATGAAAGAAGCTTAAATTAGACTTTTTTTCCTCCGTTATAACAATGATGACATGGCTTTCTATTTAGTCTATTTGCGAAGAATGGTAGACTTTTGAATCTGGCACAATGGCCAAGAATTCTGCCACAGTGCGGCGAATCTGATAGGAATAAAGGGAAAGCATCATTCCTCTGAGGACTCTAATAATAAGAACAACTATTTTGACGCACACGTTTGGGTAGACTCTGAGAAGTTTAAAAGAAAAACTTGCTGATTCACCAATTTTTCATTAACTTATTTGGCAATATTTGTCTCACCTGGAACTGAAAACTTATCAAATATCGCAAATATCGCCACACTTCGCTAGCGGAGTAGCTTGCAACTTGCACTTGCAACCTTGATAATCTGGAACATCGCAGAAAAGTTGGAAATTTGTCACTCTTTTATAGATATCTACTTTCACGGGAGGTGTTCAAGTGACTTGGCACATTCGATTCCACCGTAAGCGGTATGTATTAAAAATACGCGACGGATTGTAAGTGCTCATCATTTTGAGGTTCAACTCGATACACCTCAAACTTCACTGTTAAATAACTCTTTCATTTGGAGAAATACGTTAATGTAGAATAAACTTTCTGAGAATGTTTTTTCAAATAAATTTAATATCTAGTGAATCAAATCCAACGTGAATCGCTGCTTTCGCACAGGCACAGCTCTTAAAGCGCCTTAAGGATTTTTCTGTAGTGCTTGGCATAAATGTTGGGAAAAATTGGTTGTGAGACTTTTGAACTTCATTTTCAGGCAGCGTGAATACTTTTAAATCTTGGCCAGTTGGTGTTGTGTTGACAAGCTTAAATATAACCTGCTATTCCCAACTTTCTGCAGTTATTTTTATGCTCATCATTCCAAATCTTGTTGATGAAAATTGAAGTGATAAAACGAGATGAACTCATTTTAACGTAGAAAGGCTGTATACCAATATAACAATTGAAGAAATACTGAAATCCCACGCTAAGGCAGGAACTGGTCAAAGAACTGGGTACTAAACAAGGCTACCAATAGAATAAATGATGAGCTGCCAGTTGGAAAATGGTTATGTTGACAAAGTCATAGAATGGGACGGAAGTGTGATTATATGGTTTTCGAAACAGATGACAAATAGCGCTTAATCTGGATGCGATACGTTGATTTGAAGATACGAAGATTGCCTTTTATGTTTCGGTATTTGGCAACTGACAGCTCTATCGTTAAGTTGAACATTTTAGAGCTTATACGTACTCAGAACGTTTTGACATACTCGCGCTATTTGTGTTGTTTACAGTAACTTAAAAGATTCATCTCTGCCCAAAAATGGAATTAAATCGTGAACATTTTCGTGCGATTATTTTTCACAACTTTCTGCGTGGATTAACTCAGCAACAGTGCATTGATGAACTTAATTCAATTTTTGACGATGAAGCTCCACCAAGGACCAGTGTTTATCGACGGTATGGTGAATTCAATCGTGATCGTAGTTTATTCCAAGACGAATTTCGTAAAGGTCGTACGAAATCAGTTGTTCCGAAAACCATTGATGGTGTGCGCGAACTGATATTGCAAGATCGTCATGTGACCTATCGTGAGATTGAGATAACCTCAGGCATTGGTGCGACCAGCATACATTCAATATTGCATAAACATTTGACTGTCAAAAATGTGTTCGCGTTGGATCCCACACAATTTGTCAATCGCTCAAAAAAAGGCTCGTGTCGATTGGTCGCGGTGCTTCAAAATACGTCTTTAACATCGTGACAGGTGATGAATCGTGGATTTACGCGTATGAGCCCGAAAGTAAACAGCAGTCGACTGTATGGGTGTTTCAATATGAGCCAAATCCAACAAAAGTTGTTCGCGCACGAGGCACTTCCAAATGAATGGTCGCCTGTTTTTTCGGAAAAACTGGACATATCGCAACCGTACCACTAGAATAACGCAGAACAGTCATTTCTGAGATGGTACACAACCATTTGTGTACCAATCAGAAATCAGGAAAACCCACCGCCGAAGACGGATCACTCTTAACCACGACAATGCGAGCTCTCACACATCGGCTCAAACAACTGCATTTTTGAGCACCCAAAACATCGATTTGATGAGTCATCCGCCGTATAGTCCTGACTTGGCACCGAATGACTTCTTTTTATTCCCGCACGTAAAAAACAAACTGAGAATGCATGTTTTGGAGATACCTCAATTATTGTGGCAAAAGTGCTTCGACAATTAGTTCAAACGCATACAAAAGTGTATAAGTAGATCTTCATGGGAAATATTTTGAAAAACAATAAAGTGATTTTTGATGATTATTATTTGCTTTTGTTCTCTAATCCCGAAATATAATATGGCAACCCTGGTACTTTCAAAGTGTGGAACTGTGGAGACATAAACGTCATTCTGCGACACATTGACGTGAGAAGTTCCATGAAAGTCATAATGAGAAACGGAACTCAAAATCAATTGAAACAGTAATTGATGTTGGGTTAGACGTGAAATGGAGACACAAAACAGATGTAAAACATCAAAACCGAGTCACGAATGACAGTAGAAGTAGATGAGTAGAAAAGAGTAGATACACTTTCTTTGATTCGAATATCTTATACCTGCATTTTCAAAATTTCCAATAAATTCAACAGTTTTGTCACACACTTGATTTCCATGTCGTCTTGAGTATATCCTACAGACATTTCTACAGTTTTGATGAGCATATTGAGTTGTTTTTCAATTTTTTTGTAGCCAATGTTCAACATGTTCTCAGCAATTATTCTGAATCTGCGATTAACTAAACGGACGGTTTGACCTGAAATGAGGAATATAAGTTAGAATATCATGTGTAAAATATATTTGGCCGTGACCAAGATTTCATCTGTTTAAAAAAAATCTGTTCAAAATCTGTTTTTCCGTTAACCAGCTGTCGCACCCCTACTAACGACAACCCTCAAAAGTTGAACCTTGTACAAGCTAAGGACTAACGAGGTCTTACCTTTTAACGTGTGATTCCTAACACGGGTTGGACGATAGCGAGTGAAACCATGTCGACATTTCGTCCTCTACTGTAGTATCGAAGACGATGAAGCAATGAATGATGTGCAGGTAGGTACAGCTTGTCAAATCTAGGAAGAGACTTTACAAATCTTCCTTTCTCTCTTCTCTCTCTCTCTCTCTTCTCTCTATTTCTCACTCTCTCTCTCTCTCTCTCTCTCTCTCTCTCTGTGTCTCACTATCACTGTTTTCCAACGAACGCAGATATAGTGGGCGGGACCATAACAAAATTCAGAAAACTCTTTCTACATTTGACGAACGCTGCAGTTACATTTCATTTGTGCTGAATCTTTATTCATTTCGATTGAAATTGTCTTTGATTTTTTATTTCCTCCCCTTCCTTATACAGGGTGGGGCACCGAAAACGAAACAGATCGAATATTTTCAAAACACGTGTTCTGAAAAAAATGCAAAAACACGTAGATTTACAATCCAAGGAGGACATCTTTTTATCACAACCACAACTGTCATACCTCTTCCCCACCCATCGGTGACTATCACCCAAACAATTTGTTTATTACAATTTTAGCCACCTAACTTTCGATTTTGGCGCCTTCTTGCGGGAAAAGCCTGTTCTGTATTCCAAATTATAATACCTCATTCGCACGCTAATTTGACATAAATTCGGTGACAATGCATGGAGTTTTTCTAGAGGAAAAAACAAGATGGCGGCTTCACATTGGCGGACAATATTTGCAATTATGGTCCGATTTGATTCAAAATTGATAAGTGGTGGTTTTCAGGGTCAGAAATTATGAATTGTTTTTCAATACAAAAAATCAAGATGGTGGCTCCAAAATGGCGGACGAAATTTGTAATTAAGGTTCGATTCAACCCGACACCAAAAACGAATTCTTCAAAACACATGTGTTGTGAACATAGTACAAAAACACGTTCATTTTAAATCCAAGGGGGACAAATCTTATCGTTCAACTGTCTCTCAACTCAACTCAACTGTCATACTTCTCTCCCCACCCCTTGGTCACTCAAATAATTTGATTAGGGAAAGTACTAAGGGTGACACAGCATTGAAAAGGTAATTCCATATGGAATTCAGACATGTGAGTGTTCGCTACTTAACTTTTCATTTTGGCCCACTATTGCAGGAAAAACAACTGTTTCATGTTTCAATTCACATTTTATTTGAAAGGTAATGTGAACAATTCACGAAAAAAGAAGAAACATTGAAAAAATTACATAACTCGAAAATTGTAAAATTGTACATAAATTCAACTGAGATCATTCCAAACTACATTAATTCATAGTAGATGCTCGAAGTGTTCTGCATTCACTGTCATACATGAGTATAAGTTTGTCTCAAAACGTGGTCTGACGTTTTGGAGCATGTCTGGGGTTATTTGACGACATTCGGAAATAATACGTTACGTAACTCTGCTAACGAACCTGGCTGAGTGGCATATATTTTACATTCCAAGTGTCCCCACAAAAAGTTATTTAGGGGAGATTAATCTGGAGATCAGGGGGGCCATTCACTGCATCCTCTTCTTCCAATCCAGTGTCTGTGAAATCTTTCATCCAGGTACTGACCAACCGCTACAGCAAAATGTGGAGGAGCTCCGTCCTATTGGAATATTAGGTGATCCTCAAGGTATCGGTTATCGTTTTCTATTATGTCCGTTAACGTTGGATCAACGGTATCTTCGAGTAATTCCAAATACATATCACCAGTCAAATTACCTGGTAGAAAAAATGGACCAATAATACGATCGCCAAATATTCCAGCCCAAACATTCAATTTTTGTGGGGATCGCGTATGTACTTGGTGAAACACTCTTGGATTGCAATCTGACTAGTACCGACAAGTTGTCGATTGACAATCCCGTTGAGATAAAAACTGCATTCATTCGAAAAACAAATATTGAAAAAGAAATTTTGATCTTGTATAGCACGTTCACTCATGATTTCACAAAATTGTATTCGACGATCAAAGTCGTCCTCGTTGAGTTCCTGAACCAGTGTAATTTTGTATGGATGGAATTTGTGAGCTTTCAAAATTTGCCCGACGGTACGTCAATTTACTCCAGATAATTCAGCAATCTTTCGTGTACCAAGAGTTGGATCCGTAGTAACCTGTCCTAAAACTGCTTCGTTTTTTACTGGGTTTTCAATTTGATGTGTTTTATTTGCCCTATACATCCCGTTTGTCGAAATTTTGAAATTAGTTCCAAAACGTATTTACAATGTACGCTTTTGTTTGGGTGTTGCTCATTGAAAATTCTACTGGCTTTGTTGGCACATTCATTATTTTTGAAATAATATTCAATTATTTCTACCCTATCCTCAATAGAATAAATCATTTTTTATTTAATGTACCTGACGTACTTCTGTCAAGAAACTGACAATAATAAGCACTGAAACACAAGGTTTTTCATTATACCAATACATAGGCGTAGTAAGTCGATTGCTATTCCAAAGGTAGCAATGTCATCAAATAACTTCAGAAATGCTCAAAAAAGTCAGACGGCGTTTCGAGAATAACTTATACTCATTTATGGCAGTTCATGGCGAACACTTTGAGCATCTACTGTGAATTAAAGTAGTTTGCGATGATTGAATCATGTAATTTTTTCACTTGTTGTTCTTTTTTCGTGAATTGTTCACATTATCTTTCAAATAAAATGTGAATTAAAAAACGAAACAGTTGTTTTTCCTGCAATAGAGCGCCAAAATGAAAAGTTGGGTAGCTAACAATCACATGTCTGAATTGTTTATGGAATTACTTTTTCATTGCTGTGTCACAGCAATCAAATTGTATGAGTGACCAAGGGGTGGGGAGAGAAGTATGACAGTTAAGGTAACAAAAGAATTTGTCCCCCGTGGATTTAAAGTTGACGTGTTTCTGCATTATGTTCACAACACACGTGTTTTGAATAATTCGTTCTCGGTGTCAGGTTAAATTGAACCATAATTACAAATTTAGTCTGCCATTTTGGAGCCACCATCTTGATTTTTTGCATTGAAAAACAATTCATGATTTCCGACCCTGAAAACCACCCCTTAATAATTTTGAATCAAATCGGACCATATTTGCTAATCTTGTCCGCCATTGTGAAGCCGCCATCTTGTTTTTTCCCTAGAAAAACTCCATAATATCCTCAGTAGCTTTAATCATTGCATGTTTCGTAGAAAATAAATTGTTATTATTATTATCTTTGAATCTGATATTTTTTTACTCTGTCAATGAGAAACTCGTAGACAATGAAGACAAAATTTCATCGTCATCATCAGAAAGTAGAAAGTTGATGCCTTCATCTTTTAGAAATTACTGGTGTTTTTATCCCATCCAACTCATCATTATCAATGATGAAAATGGTCCCTCCAGATACCATTGTAATTGTCTTTTTACTATGTGAGAGATGTCTAACATGTCAATTTTTCTCGAAACTTTAGAAAGCGCTGCAGTCTTTTAAGTTTATTGCCTTTTTATTCCTATCTCTTTATGACACTTATTCGAATAATATTGTTCTCTATACTAGAATGTTTACTGAATTCGACAATTCTTCCACATTCTTGACCTTTTTCCTAATATTCATTTTTAAAAGATCTTTTCCTTATTCGAAAGCTTACAGCCTTTCAAGTTCATGAGAATTTCCGTGAATTATGATAGCAATTATTGTGAAATACAATAGAATGTTGAAATGAAAGAAAAATAAATAGTTTACATACTTAAATCATGGTAGGATAAGTGTGTGAAAACAGCTTGCAATATCTCGACGGGAACGAACATGATTGGATTTTTCCTTTTCCTTTCTGAATACTCTTTATAACTGGTGGTGCATTCCTCAGTGTCTTGGCTGATTTTCCTTCTTTTAGATCGAGTGTAATATCCGGGAGTAAGATCAGAGGTTTCTTGGTCACTTTCATCGTATATTTCTTCGGAGTTATCCATTTTTGTTTTCACTATTGTTAGTCTTCGAGCAGTATTTTTAAAACCATATAAATTTTATATAAATTTCAATAGATTGGGTTAAAATTTGACTAATTAATGGATGTGTCAATTCTGATGTTGGATGTTGAAGTGTATCAAGGCCTATTGCGTTTATTCAATTCAACAATTCCCGTCTTTTACAGTGAAAGCTGTATTGTTTGGAATTGACAACTTTTGTATATTCTGACAACGCGTTAATCAAAATTCAGTAATCAACGAGCGAAACTCTGCAATTTCATTCAATTATATATTTTTACTGAACAAATCACTCAGTCATTACCAGAAGTCTAGACTGGAGATTAAAAGTTAACAGATGTCCGTAACATTTTAATAATAGGAACTATTTTTGTTCCGTCGCGTCACGTCGAGGGGTAAACTGTTCTTATTCACAAAAAACGAGGTTTATCAAACCCAAAGAATTACAAGCCAACAAGGTACTCAATTCACAAGTGATCTATTCGAATAATTATGATTCTGCTGTTGAATGAACGAGAAACAGACTAACCTCTGTGAGGTATCTTGCATGAATATCCGGTTTGCTTGACGGTGGTTGACAATGTTTCGTGGTTCATGTTTCCTCTCAAGAGTGTAGTAGACCGTGCATTCGGGCTCTGTTATACAAAAGAAGGTATCAAAAAGGAACTGGGCATCATAAAAAATGACCTTTAACGAAATAGTTAATCCAAAGTGATGGTGGAACAGACTTTGGCTAGAAGACAGCAAGAACCTCACAAGGAAGGGAAGCCACCATAACCAGTACTTGTACTTCCCTACATCAGAGGATTGTCGGAGAAAATTGGGTCCAAGTATAACATCAGAACCTGCTTCAGAACTGGGAATACTATCCGTATCAACCTCATAAAAACCAGGCCACCGAATGCTGAATGTGATTCCAAGAATTGGATTTACCAGATACCCTGTCAGTGTGGAGACTCATACATCGGTGAAACTGAGAGGCCATTGAAAGTTCGCATTGCCGAGCACAAAAAACACACAGTGAGGAATACTGCAGAGCATGTTTGGACCCATCAACATAACATCAAGTAAACTCAAGCTGAGATCTCCACAAGGAGGAACACTGCCTTAAGAGAAAATTCGAAAAAGCCGCCGCAACAACGCATTTAGCACCAAGCTAGCGTAGAGATACGCAACTAATGGAAACCTATAATCAAGCGGAACACGACCAACTCCCGACAAACGGTCAGCTCCCGCTAAAACTGATGAAGCGGAGAGAAAAAGGAGGGGATAGGTGTAAGTACTCGAATGACCTATGAATAGTTAGATCCCGAAGAAATAAGTCCAGTCATTACCCGAAGACGATTGTGGATACTAACAATCGAAACGTCGTGACGTAACTTGCCTTGGAATCTTTCAATTTTCATTTCTTGTTAATTATTTTTCATTTTCACCTCGTGTTATTAGTTACATTTCTGATTGTTGCTTTATTTCATTGTAATTTCAGTTTTTTCGCTCAATATAATTATCTTTCAGCTGATCTTTTTAATTTGTTATAGATTCTTTCGAATATTTCAAATCAATTTATATCATATCAGACGATGGAAGTCCGAACTAATGAAATGCATAAATATCCGGTATTAACCAAGGAAGTAGTTATTTTCCGGAAGGCATTTGTCAGAACCCACTATGTGGATGAGTTGGGAGAGATGAATATTTCGGGAATTTATGTCGTAATATTTATTTTCTGATATGTATGTATCTCTTTTCGATACAGTGTTCAGACAAAGAACCAGACACCTTTATGACAAAGCTGACAACACACACTATAAAACCAGAACATAATGTCACGAATAATAGCAAAACGAAAGTATTAAGGCATTTTCTACAATTTTGCCAACGTAAACCAAGTCGATTGATTCCGTCAGCATAAAAATTGTATGATCGTGATTCGATGAAGTAGACGAAAGCCGTTTATGTCTAGTCCTGATTGGCAAAGGTTCTATCGGTGATAAAGTTAACGAAGTGCTTGAACTACCACGACGCAGTATAATGAATATTATTTGAGAAGTGGGGTTACAAAATCATTTGACATTAAAGCGGACAAAACTTTTGAAACGACGAGTGGATTTGATATACGTAATCCAAAGCAGAAAGAGTTTATGGACGAAACACTCATCAGCTGTCATCAGTACGATATAGCCAAGTGCAATGTAAAAGTAGTTATTTTGAAAGTATTTTTTCTTTGTGTAATTCAATGTTTATATGAAATAAGCTGTTCTTTGTAGAGTCGATTTCTTGAAATTAATTGCTTTCTTTCTTTCTCTGAAGGATTTTCAGTTGTATGAAAATTTAGAAGTAGAAAGCCAAATATTGAGCGAATATTGAAACAAAATTGTCTCATCATGAAAAATGTTCTTTGATCGACTAGAAGAGCAAATGTATTTAGGATGTTCACGTTGAGAAAAAAATGACGTCACTTTGGTTAATTTTCTATATCCGACAACAACGTTGAAATTCTGAATGAAATTCGTTCAATAGCAATGAAACTAGTTAAATTTCATTCTGTAACTTGCTCAACTGATAGTGAAATTTCAAATTTCAGACGTTGCCGAATGGAAAAAACTCAAATATGTCAGTCTTTCTTTTCTTTTCAGAACAAATCATTTCTTTTGATAAGACCTGCGTGTATTCAATATGCCTAAAGCATTGTTGAAACAGTCTCTACAAATAGTAGCGTTTTTAATAGATTACTTTGAAAGAGAACATGAGAATGGAGGACCTTTACTTCCACTGTTATTTACCTATCCTACATCTATAAGAACTAAAAAATTATACAGCAAATATATAAATATTGGGTTAGATTAAATATTTGTCGATTGTTGATTTCAGAGAGTTGTAGATACCTTGAAGTTGAGTTTCAGTAGTGTAAACCGCATTGCGACTAAATCTAATAGAGGTGAAATACTCAGCAATCCATCAAAATAGCGACAATGGGTGAAACCAGTGATAGATATTGATGATTTCGATCAAACGGTCATTGAAAATGTGATCTATGATATGTACAAAACCAGTTAGTATTTTGTATTGATTTTTTCAATATACAATATTTGACGACAACAATAAATTCAGGAAAACATCAATTTGAAAACTTGGAAAGATAAACTGAAAGAACGTGATCTTTTCAAATGTTGAAAGACATCTTTATGGAAAATTCTGAAGAAAATTGGTTTTACATACNTGTTGCTTTATTTCATTGTAATTTCAGTTTTTTCGCTCAATATAATTATCTTTCAGCTAATATTTCAAATTTTTTATGGATTCTTTCAAGGATTTCAAATCAATTTATATCATATTAGACAATGGAAGCCCGAAATAATGAAAAGCATAAATATCCGGTATCAACCAAGGAAGTAGTTGTTTTCCGGAAGGCATTTGTCAGAACCTACTATGTGGATGAGTTGGGAGAGATGAATATTTCGGGAATTTATGTCGTAATATTTATTTTCTGATATGTATGTATCTCTTTTCGATACAGTGTTCAGACAAAGAACCAGACACCTTTATGACAAAGCTGACAACACACACTATAAAACCAGAACATAATGTCACGAATAATAGCAAAACGAAAGTATTAAGGCATTTTCTACAATTTTGCCAACGTAAACCAAGTCGATTGATTCCGTCAGCATAAAAATTGTATGATCGTGATTCGATGAAGTAGACGAAAGCCGTTTATGTCTAGTCCTGATTGGCAAAGGTTCTATCGGTGATAAAGTTAACGAAGTGCTTGAACTACCACGACGCAGTATAATGAATATTATTTGAGAAGTGGGGTTACAAAATCATTTGACATTAAAGCGGACAAAACTTTTGAAACGACGAGTGGATTTGATATACGTAATCCAAAGCAGAAAGAGTTTATGGACGAAACACTCATCAGCTGTCATCAGTACGATATAGCCAAGTGCAATGTAAAAGTAGTTATTTTGAAAGTATTTTTTCTTTGTGTAATTCAATGTTTATATGAAATAAGCTGTTCTTTGTAGAGTCGATTTCTTGAAATTAATTGCTTTCTTTCTTTCTCTGAAGGATTTTCAGTTGTATGAAAATTTAGAAGTAGAAAGCCAAATATTGAGCGAATATTGAAACAAAATTGTCTCATCATGAAAAATGTTCTTTGATCGACTAGAAGAGCAAATGTATTTAGGATGTTCACGTTGAGAAAAAAATGACGTCACTTTGGTTAATTTTCTATATCCGACAACAACGTTGAAATTCTGAATGAAATTCGTTCAATAGCAATGAAACTAGTTAAATTTCATTCTGTAACTTGCTCAACTGATAGTGAAATTTCAAATTTCAGACGTTGCCGAATGGAAAAAACTCAAATATGTCAGTCTTTCTTTTCTTTTCAGAACAAATCATTTCTTTTGATAAGACCTGCGTGTATTCAATATGCCTAAAGCATTGTTGAAACAGTCTCTACAAATAGTAGCGTTTTTAATAGATTACTTTGAAAGAGAACATGAGAATGGAGGACCTTTACTTCCACTGTTATTTACCTATCCTACATCTATAAGAACTAAAAAATTATACAGCAAATATATAAATATTGGGTTAGATTAAATATTTGTCGATTGTTGATTTCAGAGAGTTGTAGATACCTTGAAGTTGAGTTTCAGTAGTGTAAACCGCATTGCGACTAAATCTAATAGAGGTGAAATACTCAGCAATCCATCAAAATAGCGACAATGGGTGAAACCAGTGATAGATATTGATGATTTCGATCAAACGGTCATTGAAAATGTGATCTATGATATGTACAAAACCAGTTAGTATTTTGTATTGATTTTTTCAATATACAATATTTGACGACAACAATAAATTCAGGAAAACATCAATTTGAAAACTTGGAAAGATAAACTGAAAGAACGTGATCTTTTCAAATGTTGAAAGACATCTTTATGGAAAATTCTGAAGAAAATTGGTTTTACATACAAAAAAGATCATCTACGTCGTGGTTTGATGGAGTTGTCTAGTATTGTAATGAAACGTTTACACTTTTTACAAGATTACGTGAAGAAGGGGGTTTACACCAGTTTGTTTTCTTAGATGAAACTTGGGTAGTTGAAGATGGTACCAT